TGTAAGAATAGGTCTTCAGCAACCCATGCTTTTCTCCCACCGTGAAGATCCGTGTAAGAATAGCTCTTCACCAACCCACGCTTGTCTCCCCCCTGTGAAAACCTGGGGTAGAATTGGTCTTCAGCAACCCATGCCTGTCTGCCCCCCGTGAAGATCTGTGTAAGAACAGGTCTTCAGCAACCCATGCTTGTCTGCCACCGTGAACATCCGGGTTAGAAAAGGTATTCAGGAACCTATGCTTGTCTCCCCTCGTAAGATCCGCGTAAGAATAGGTTTTCAGCAACCCATGCTTGTCTCTCCACGTGAGTATCCGTGTAAGAATAGGTCTTCAGCAACCAATAATTGTCTCCCCCATGAACATTCGTGTCAGAATATGTCTTCAGGAACCGATTCTTGTCTCCCCCGTGAAGATCCGGGTTAGGAAAGGTATTCAGCAACCCATGCTTGTCTCTCCCCATGAATATCCGTGTAAGAATAGGTTTTCAGCAACCCATGCTTGTCTCCACCCCGTGAATATCCAGGGTAGAATAGGTCGTCAGCAACCCATGCTTGTCTCAAACCGTGAATATCCGTGTAAGAATAGGTCTTCAGCTACCCATGCTTGTCTCCACCCCGTGAAGATCAAGGGTAGAATAGGTCTTCAGCAACCCATGCTTGTCTCCCACCATGAAGATCCAGGGTATAATTGGTCTTCAGCAACCCATGCTTGTCTCCACCTCGTGAATATCCAGGGTAGAATAGGTCGTCAGCAACCCATGCTTTGTCTCCCCTCGTAAGATCCGTGTTAGAATAGGTCTTCAGCAACCCATGCTTTTCTCCCACCGTGAAGATCCCTCTAAGAATAGGTCTTCAGCAACCCATACTTGTCTGTCCCCGTGAATATCCAGGGTAGAATAGGTCTTCAGCAACCCATGCTTGTCTCCCCCCGTGAAGATCCGTGTAAGAATAGGTCTTCAGCAACCCATGCTTGTCTCCACCCTGTGAAGATCAAGGGTAGAATTGGTCTTCAGGAACCCATGACTGTCTCCCACCGTGAAGATCCGTGTAAGAATGGCTCTTCACCAACCAACGCTTGTCTCCCCCCTGTGAAGATCAAGGGTAGAATAGGTCTTCAGCAACCCATGCTTGACTACCACCGTGAATATCCGGGTTATAATTGGTCTTCAGCAACCCATCCTTGTCTCCCCCCATGAAGATCCGTGTAAGAATAGATCTTCAGCAACCCATGCTTGTCTCCCCTCGTAAGATCCGTGTAAGAATAGGTTTTCAGCAACCCATGCTTGTCTCTCCCCGTGAATATCCAGGGTAGAATTGATCTTCAGCAACCCATGCTTGTCTCCCCCCGTGAATATCCAGAGTAGAATAGGTTTTCAGCAACCCATGCTTGTCTCTCCCCGTGAATATCCAGAGTTGAATAGGTCTTCAGCAACCCATGCTTGTCTCCTCCGTGAAGATCCGTGTAAGAATAGGTCTTCAGTAACCCATGCTTGTCTGCTACCGTGAAGATCCAGGGTAGAATTGGTCTTCAGCAATCCATGCTTGTCTCCCCTCGTAAGATCCGTGTAAGAATAGGTTTTCAGCAACCTATACTTGTCTCTCCCCGTGAATATCCAGGGTAGAATAGGTTTTCAGCAACCCATGCTTGTCTCTCCCTGTGAATATCCAGGGTAGAATAGGTTTTCAGCAACCCATGCTTGTCTCTTCCCGTGAATATCCAGAGTTGAATAGGTCTTCAGCAACCCATACTTGTCTGTCCCTGTGAATATCCAGGGTAGAATAGGTCTTCAGCAACCGATGCTTGTCTGCCACCGTGAAGATCCAGTGTAGAATAGATCTTCAGCAACCCATACTTGTCTCCCACCATGAAGATCCCTGGTAGAATTGGTCCTCAGCAACCCATGCTTGTCTCCCACCATGGAGATCGGTGTAAGAATAGATCTTCAGCAACCCATGCTTGTCTCTCCCCATGAAGATGCGGGTTAGAATAAGTCTTCAGCAACCCATGCTTGCTGTAAAAGGCGACAATGTTTGTCGGAAGAGGCGAGTAACGGGATCGAATGGTCAGGCTCGCTGTCTTGCTTGATACATATCATCGTATCCCAATTGTGCGGATCGATGCTCATGATATCAATCACTGGATTGTCTGGTCAAGACTCGATTATTAACAGACCGCCGTCCTATAGCTGGAATATTGCTGAGTGCGACGTTAAACAACAAACACACAAACAAACAAAACTTATCAGGTCTGACAAGAAAAGGTAAAACGTTATAACTGGGATCAGGTCTTACCATGAAAAAGTAAAAGTGTTTATCATGCAAAAGCAAGTAACGTCAAAGACAATAGTCAATATCCATGATAAGTTTATAAGTCCGTTCCCTAAGGTTTAAGGAAAGTGTGTTGGAAGTTTCTGATAAATATTGTTTAAAACTCATGGACGAAAAAAACGTCACCTTAAATATATGTGCAATGTATTTTCAACCAATGTCAAAACACCTTTTAATATAGATTAAAACGTATCATCAAAACGCAATTTATTCATTCCTTTCACTGACATGCGCAGAATGCATGTGCTGGTTGTGATAATGCCCTTATTGCTAGGAAACAGGCATAACCCCTGGATAAATACCCGTATGCAAATCGGGTTTAAAACGGATGTGAACTCAGGCCCATGTTGCTGAGGTAATGGGCTGTTCGAGAAGGACGATATTCGAGGTTAGTCAGCCGGTTTAGGCAGACAGGTGGAACAGCAGACAGGCCTAGGAACGGTGGACACCGAGTTACAACCCTCAGGAAGACCGCCATTAACGACTGCTTCACCTTTGGAACAGATACCTCACAGTGACGTCATCGGGAGAGCATGCCCTTGGTCATCCAATCAACAGAAAGACCGTGTCCAGACGACTTCGTCACTATGGTCTGAGAGCCTACCGACAGTTCAAGGGCATGACGTTAACGCTTGAACATCGACGTCACAGAATTAGATGGGCGAGGAATATCGAGCTTAATTATCGGCGGCCAGGGAAATTGAACAATACGGTTGTTGCAGTGTGACTGTCTGGGGTAGGATTTGCGGAGACATGAAGACGGATCTGGTTGTCAATAATGGCAATCTTACCGCTGCACGCTACATCAGTGAAGTGTTAACACCAATTGTACTGCCTTTTCTCTTCAACTCACCCACATACAGCCCACATTACCAGAGCATTGTTCAACGCCAACAACGTGAACCTACTTCCTAGGCCGGCAAGATCTCTCAACAGGTCTCGAACATCTGTGGGACCACCTGGCACGACAGATTAGGCAACCTCAGCCACGCCATCCAACAAATTAACATTGTAATATCCCTGTACACAGTGATTGGATTACCCCTAAAGTATCTCATGTACAGAGGCATGCAGTCATTGGCAAGATGTGCATGAGGTGCTTGAAAACCAGTGTTCATTCGTATCGTGACAGAATCTTTGCACATCATTATCAGAGAGAACATCAACAACCGAATTCACTTATGCCCCCTCAAAGAAGTCGCTTGACAACCAAAGAATTAGGCAGATACCAGCTGCAGATACCCAGCGACATGGAACAGAGTTCTACCACACAGCGGGAAGACATCATCACTTCGTGACTGCCACCTCAGTTAGGAATGATCTACGGAACGCCAGTGGCATTAAAGTTTCTACTCAAACAGTACACAATCGTCTCAGTGAGGCTTGTCTCCGGTCACTAAGGGTATGCATTCGCATCCAACTGACCCGACATCACAGACAGTGACGTTTTGATTGGGGCTGAAGATCACGTCAATTGGACAGACGAAGACTGGACATCAGTACTGTTCACTGATGAATCGATATACTGTCTAGACTTCACAGATCGTCATGACCGAAGGTGAGAAAGATTTCAGGACATAGACGAACATTACAGCAATGGGGGGCACTGAGTCATGACTTAGGGTGTGATCGATAGGGCTGGAAGAACCGATTGTCTTGTCATACAGCAGAGCACGATGACATGTTTTCGCAACAAGTATGACATTCTGGATATGTACGTGAGACCGTGTGCTGATGCAATCATGAATTGAAACGTACGACCTCGACTCGTGAGCAGGAGTCATTGTACGTATTGAGGTGCAAGTGTTAACGAGCTGCAGATCACTCTCCCGTGATGCCCTGTCCTTCTGCCAACACCACAGGAACTCGGCAATGTTCTTACTGAAGAGTGAAACAATCTTCCCTTGGCAACCATCCATACACTAAATGGGAGCATGAGATTGAGTGAGTGAGTATGGTTTTACAAAACTTTACCAATAATCCAGCTATATAAGGGTGGGCTTCACACATAGTACCCAGGTTGGGAATTGGGCGCGGGTATTTGGCCTGATGAGCGAACACTATAACCACTAGGCTACACGACCACCCCGAGGAGCATGAGAAGCCGTGTCAGGTTGTGAACGCATCACGAGGGTCGCATACGCGCTACTGGGAGTTTTTGTCAGAATAATTGTGTTTTTCAGCTTTACTCTCATTATGACGAGTGATCTGATTGATTATAAGTCACATGTTGTTTGCAGGCATTATATGTCACGTGACCTTTGCTCTATTAAACATGGCTTGCTGCAATATTGTCATTGGCTATTTCAACAGATGTACACAATTTGGGGTATTACCTTTTTAAGAGTAGTGATCCTTTGGAGTAAAATGCGGTAAACTCATGTGGACATTTCTTTTCCTGAATAGTTAAAATGGTAGATAGAGGTGACAACATATTGTTTCTGTGGCAAATGTTTATCATAAGACTCACGTCCAGAACATATTATATAACAGAAGTGCTCAAACCTTCCGCGGCAGATTTTGCCAGAAGGGAACTATCTAACACATGTCTAAAGTAAGACCACGGCAAAATGGCAATAAGGTAAAGGCAAAAATGAAAGGGTAGCCAAATTACTATTCCCATGGCATAGTTCCAAAACATGAGAAACAGTTATTCATAAATTATCTAGCTGTTATTTATACATACCTAGGTTACAAAGCATGGTAAATTATTTCAAAACAAAATTCGCAAAAGCCAAGAAGTTAACAAGACTAACAAGACTGTAGTAACATGAAGACAAACCTAATTACATTACGCAACTTTCAATACTACATCCAGAAACCAATTCATCGACAGACGTTTCTCAATAATTAAATGGAGGTGAACCAAACATGGGTTACATGTTCCTCTGTGGTCTAGTGGATAGTGCATCTGCAGGGAGTGCGTAAGGTCAGTGGTTCGATCCCCTGACCGCGCCATACCAAAGTTGCTACCATGCCTGGGGCTCGGCCTTGATGGGTTATATAACACGCACTGGTGGGTTCAAAGTCACTGTCAGAATGGGGTATTCATGTTAAACTGTGGCTAGCACTATAGAACCTACATTGCTCCGGACAGGTATAAGCACAAACACACACTCGTGAACACTTTCATGCACATGGATATATACATATATGTAAGTACAAGGGTGTGGGAGGGGAGGGTTTGGTTTGAAGCATAATTACTTTTTTTCGGAATATTCGGGAACAATATTTTTTTTTCGATATAAACCCAGCCCCAAATGGTGCTTATTTCAATCCTCATTAAAAGACTTTTTGACCATGAGTCGTTTGACGCTCTTTGCAATCTTCGAATGAGGAGCATTGCTCGATTGTACCTAGAAAAAACTGAAATCTCGACCTCAAAATCTGGATGTGCAGGAATGTATATGAAAAAATCTGTTCTATTGAATATATAATTAAGTAACAAAATTATATGAATGAATCACTGAAAATCTATCTTTTACAGATCTTCATAATACAGCTACCATTATGAAAATGGGTTCAATGAACCGATCAGGCTCTTTACCCATTGATAAGCAGTTCCAAGGTAACTAGTGTCGCCCTTTTCAACTTTCTCTCGTATCTGCTTCAGAGCTTCTTCATGTCGCATTTCTTGTCTCATATGCTCATGTTCTTCTCTCATACGCTCATGTTCTTCTCTCATACGCTCATGTTCTTCTCTCATACGCTCATGTTCTTCTCTCATACGCTCATGTTCTTCTCTCATATGCTCATGTTCTTCTCTCATACGCTCATGTTCTTGTCTCATACGCTCATGTTCTTCTCTCATACGCTCATGTTCTTCTCTCATATGCTCATGTTCTTCTCTCATACGCTCATGTTCTTCTCTCATACGCTCATGTTCTTCTCTCATACGCTCATGTTCTTCTCTCATACGCTCATGTTCTTCTCTCATACGCTCATGTTCTTCTCTCATACGCTCTTGTTCTTGTCTCATACGCTCTTGTTCTTCTCTCATACGCTCATGTTCTTCTCTCATACGCTCATGTTCTTCTCTCATACGCTCATGTTCTTCTCTCATATGCTCATGTTCTTCCCTAAAGGTTCTCTGAAGATCTTTCAGTTTCTGAACTTCTCTCCTCATGTTTTCCTCTGCAGCTGCCTCCTTTTGCTCAGCAATCCGATTCTTTTCATCTTCATATGATTTCTTCTTTTCTTCTTCTTTTTGCCACAGTTCTAAGGCTTTTAGTCGTTCTCTCAACTGATTTTCTTCATCTTTTGTTTCCTCTGATCTTCTTTCGTTTTGTTGAAGTTGTCTCTCCAATTCTTGTTTTTTAAGATGCTGGCTCTGTAACTTTTCATCAAAGGCAGCTGCTTCTTGCTTCAGTTTCTCCTCAGTCTGCTTCTCCCTATTCTCTTCAAGTTTTACCATCTTCTCAGCTTCTCGAAGATCAGCTTCACACCTCTCATACATCTCGTTTGTGTAGCACCGGCCGCCGTTGTCACCAACCATGATTTTTATCATGTCAATCAGGTCTCTGGTAAACTTCTCCTTCTCTGCATCCGTCCCCCTGTTGTTGACAGCAATACAGCGACCACTTACATCAAATAGAAACTTCTTCAGTGTCACTGGGCAATCATCTAGATAGTTGTCAAGAGTATCATTATCCGCATCCGAGTCATCTTTTCCAGTAAATACAACAATCACAAATCGTTTTGCTCCTTCTCCAAAGCAGCGCAGGAACGTTTCCAGTGTATTTTTGTCTTCTTCAGTGAACCTTCCTATCCTCACTATGAAAAGAACGGCGTGTATTCCAGGAGATGACAGGGCTACACATTTCATTATCTCTTTCTTAATGTCATCGTGTGATTTTACTGTGTCACAAAGACCTGGGACATCAACAAGCTGCAAGTCGTAACCGAAGCGGTTAAAGGAATGCTGTTTACAATTCTTTGTAAAAGACAATGAGGCGAATGTCTTCACAAACGTTCTGACTCCAGCTATTGTATTCCCAGTTTCACTTTTACCAACTCTAGTCTTTCCTACAAGTACCATTCGAATTTCCCTGTCTAAGAAGCTGGAACGGTTCCCTGTGAAAGAGAATGCAAACAGTCTTACACCCACTACTCAAAGGATTATGAATTACATCATTTTGTCAGTTGATCTTCAGTCAAATGCAAATGCGGGAGATTGACTATTTCTGTCTAAGTTTTAATTTTCAGGGTAATTATTATGTGCCATAAATATGATCACAATTTCTGTCAGATCAATTTCATAGGCAATATATCTGCATCGTTTCAAAAGACAACAAAATACATAATATCGGTGTCAGATAGCAAAACGACATGAGTGCCACAATTATTGCAGCAGTAAAATTATATTGACATGATTGCAAGGCTCGCTTGTTTTACTCAGTCACGACTACGCGATTAATGAGTGATAGGCAAACAGGTCCCACTCCTTGATCAACCAGTTCAATTCAAAATATTACAATGCAAGAGATCAATAAGTCTTCCAATACAGTGTCTGCATGACGTAAAAGACAGAATATCTGCCATGACACCAGGTTTTCGCTTAAAGGGTAAACATCGCTTGCCCAACGAGTAGCACCTATCACTGTTGTCATAAAAAAGCTAGTGTTTGTTTGTATGTTGTACGCAAGTAATATAATGTTGGTGACACATAATGACACAGCCCCCCACATGTTTCCCCATAGCAAGCAGCTCATACAGTTTCCTCCCAGTTTTCCTGTACAACTTGAACACATGTCTGCATAGGGAAGTACCTTTGTCAGCCATTGTGACGTGTATGCCTGTTAAACAATCTGAAATGAAAATGAAATAATATCAACACCACTGTGTACATTCCTATTCAATGTCGATATAGCCGTCTGTAAACCAATGGTAGAATGCTAAATGTTTATCAAAGATTTATTCAACATACATGATCCGTTCACTCTCCATCGGGATTTCTGCAAGTATGATTTGTGTTTGCAGAGGGTGTAATCGTGACATATTTAAGGATTGACTGTGATAAATACTCAAATAGTCACCAGCATCGAATTCCACACGACAAACATATGTTCTCAATATTAGACAACAAAGCACATTCGTGATATACATCGTTTCAGCCTTCACGAAATAAGCGTATTTGACAAACACGTGATATAGCCTAATATAAGTAAAATGCCTCTTTTGTTAACGACTTGTCAAACGCCGATAAAAAAAAGATGGGAAAGTGCATTAATACATGCATACCTCACAGGGACAATCGTGGCACAGAACATTGGTCCGCTTCGTGGGAAATATTTGGTACAAAACTCAAACAAGAGTGAGTGAGTGAGTTGGGTTTAAAGCCGTTTTTAACAGTATTCCAGTTATATCACGGCGTGTCAGTTTAATGTGGGAGGAAAGCCCGAAGTGATGCAGGTGAAACCCACGAGCATGGGTATGGTGCTGACAAACCTAGAAACATAATCGGGGCGAACCGGGATTCGAACCCACAATCATAGGTTTCTGGCGAGCCCAAGGTACGCGACTCTGCACAGCGAATCGCGGCACCTTAGACGACTGGGCCACCGGTGCCCTCCTCAAACAAGAACAAAACAGACAGCATGGTGTGAGTTTATTGTAACATGAAGATGAAAGGAAAGATAAAAGTTTCACCCCGTCTTATATCAAGGTTATACATTTTGTATGTCTTTATAGATAAGAGAGCTACGCAAAGAACAACGAGGGACGAGGTTTAGTGTACTTCACGATAAAACATTGTTCTGTCTTGAAGTCATTTCTAAAGATTCCAACAACACGCTCGCAGCTTGATAACATCGTAAACTGGATGACATTATATTTTAAAGGGTAGTGAGGTGTTCCCCATAGATAAGAGGATGCAAAGGCCGACAGATGGCATCAAAGACCGGGAGATATATGACAAAGGTAAAGATAATAAACGTGAGGAATCTGGGAATATGCGGGAAATACCAACTCAACCCCCTAATCATAAAATGGACTTGTCCGACACTGACGAGATCGACTGCATCTTTCATGGTTTATTCTCACTGCTGTTTTTTATTTTACGACAAATAACTCCACATCACCGTTTATTTCTTTAAAGAGCCTACTAGTCATGCGAATTTGGATATATCTACCAACAAATCTGAGAGAGATATCAAGTTAAACCTTATACTGTGTTACAATGAAATGCCAAGAGTTCGAACAGCAATTTCGTCACTAAACTGTTTCCTTTCAATTTTCAATGTTTTCAATTGAAACGTTGAGGTTTCAAAAACATATTCACGTGGATGGATTCAATGGTTTGTGTGCCGTGGTAAATGATAACATATGGTTTACACCTTTACAAACGTGAAACAGTATATATCAGCAGAAGAGAATAAACGACACTCACCAGCCGTGACCAAACGCTGACAGAGCCCGCCTCCTGCTGTAAGACCCGCAGTACGCCAGCCGCTGCCTTTATACTGCTACCCTTCAGTTGCAGCTTGACACATGACCAGACCGGGTGAGCCCACCCCATACTGTATACGTGTACTAAATATGTCTGTGCAATCCATACCAAGGTGAGACAACACGTGAAGTCCTACTGGCGATAAGCAGACGTTGAGCCTTAATCTCATTTACGGGTCTGCACAAACATAAATGTTTGACTTTATTGAAATAAACTTGCAATTATACCATCTGAATTGATATGACAAACTGTTTTGTTAATGTTCTGAAGATAGATAATTGGCTGTTTTGTTGTCTTAAATGCAGTTGATATAAACTAGTGTCCAAAAGAAACGATACCACCTGTTTGCAACCACATAAAAGAAAAACTAAACAATGCAGAAGTTTAGGATTGGTGTTATGCTTTTGAGAAATCCTTTCACAACATCTGTACAAAAATTTCATTTCAATAAAATCTGTTCAACCAATATGTTAAGCCTTTACAGATGGGGGGGGGGGGGGGGGGGGGGGGGGGTCGAAAAATGAACATTTCGTTAGAGCACTGATCACAGAAACAACGGGAAATGTCACACCACACGTCTCAAAGTCAAGTCAGTAGCGGGTATGTCCACCGTGAGCATCTATACATGCCAGAACACGCCTACGGACTGATGACGTCAAACGTCTGATGACGTTGGGAATGATGCGTGGCCATTCCTCGAGAAGAGATCGTTCCAAGTCCTGGACGTTGACTGGAGGCACACGGCGACGTCGGATTTGCCGATCGAGGTGGTCCCATAAGTGCTCGATGGGATTCATGTCCGGTGAACATGCGGGCCATGGCAAAACCTGTACGTTGGCGTTGGCAAGGAAGTTCTGTGTCAATCTTGCTGTGTGTGGCCTTGCATTGTCATGTTGGAAAAGGAGTCCACGAGGCTGTTGCTGAATAAAGGGCACCACAACAGGCCGTAGGATGTCATCAAGATAACGCTGTGCATTCAGGTTTCCACGAATTACGACAAGCATCTCCAAACGGCCGGACCTGTTGGATACAGTTAGGCGCCAAACGTTCACCAAATCGTCGGTATACAAGCTGCCGTCCATCGTTTCTGAACATGAGGAATCTGCTCTCATCAGAGAACATAACACGTGCCCAGTCCCGCCGTTGCCAACGTCGAACTCGCCTGGCCCAGATCAGTCTGTTGTTCCGGTGTCGAGGCGTCAGGAGCGGTCCGCGGTAGGGATGACGTGGCCGGATACCATACTGCCGTAGTCTCCTGTAGACGGTCTGTCGACTGATCCTGTGTCCCAGTGCTGTAGCCGCCGTGGACGTCGCTGTTACGGTGCGGTTCCTCAGGTGTAATAACCGGATGTAACGATCTTCACAGGGCGTGGTTACTCGTGGTCTTCCACTCCTGGGCCTGTCTGACGTCTGACCTGTCTGACGTAACCGCTGCATCAACCTGGTGATAGTGATGCGTGCGCAGCCCAACCTTCTGGCGACGTCGACGTGTGACGCTCCTTGTTGGACCATTCCAACGGCTCTCTCTCTCTCGATGGCTGTCAAACGTGGCATATCTTGTGTTCTTTTTGTTGCTGTGATATCAACGTGTCTGATCAGCCGTTTTATACAATTTTTCTGCACGTCCAGAACCTGCTAGAGAGGGAAATGTCACTTTCACGAAATTTACTTTTTTTCCCGGAAGTGATCACGTGTTCCCGGTATTTTTTATCGACTATGCTGTGTTTGGGATGTGCAATACGAATTGGCATGTTTCTTTGAAAATAAGTTGGTATCGTTTCTTTTGGACACTAGTTAATGTTGTTGCTTACCCGCGGTTATATTTAGTCTTTTAGCAGTTGTTATTATATTGGCATGTTCTGGCTTACACTTGTTTTAAATTATTTTTATGCATTACATTCCATATTCTTTCAGCAGTTGTGTTGATGGGTAATGTGTTGACGCACAGGACCCTCTTTGGGGCCCAAGGTCCCTCTGAATACAATTCGAACCACTCCTGGCGATAGACGCTGGGCATCTATTTTAATGCATGGTTTCACAAAAGGACATTCTAATACACAGAAAATCTCACCCGAGTGTCTTTTGATATCAAATATATCAACATGAGTTGATAAAAGTGGAAAAATTGGGTTTTGTTTGATTCGGTGCATGAACAGTAATAAATGCACTAAAGTCCGTGGTAATAGGAGTCGAATGAGCGAATCCGATACTGAAATGCTACACCACAATGACGTTCTCTTGTATAGTTTGTCCTTGTGGTCTAGTACCACCTACTATATTTATAGATTAAAGCCTGTTTAATATTCAAACACATCTCGTTTAGCACAGAACTTGAAGGGCGTTTATGCCCGTGTAGCATGGCTTGTATCAGACATATTTCAACTGACTTTAGTCCTACTCTGCAATGTCTATGCTCACGGTATTCGACGGGCTTGACCTGCACAAACAAACACAGTCACTGGCATACACAGGCAAACCACAGTCATTAAACGAAAAGCGGGTTTGTTGAAGGAGAATAAGCGCAACCGTACTGATTGATACTTTCAGTGTATTTGGCTATTCCCGAGGAAAGCATGACTCATGTGTCTATTTCGAGAGTATATTGTGCAATGCTTTAAACTGTAACAAAACTGCTTGAATCTGTTTTGTCGACATCGAAATCTATAAATACATAATTTTAACTAATTGCATTTCATTTGAAGGTGTTGTTTTCTTTTTTACTGAGGATGGTCACACAAACTCTGCAAAGTATATAGATATCTTAGATGCAAACATATATTGCTAAACTTTCAGCCGACGGTGGATATATTTGGCGGACTACTGGCCAGTTCATCAGTATCAAGACAAGCGCCCCAGTAAAAACAAGAAAATGAAACAATGAATTTCAGTAAAACAATTCTGTAAAATTACTAGTTAATGGTTTAGGATGACTGAAATTGAATTGATTTTTCTAGATTTTTGCTATGATGTTAAGGAAGGCTTGTTAAACATTGGTTGATGGTCTATAGTTGGTCTATGGTTATTTTGACCGGACTAGTTTACCAAAGTGGCTGAAATGTAGTTTTGACAAATGGTTGTATGATAAGGTTTTGCGGCTGTTATTTGTAGAATACTGAAACTTTCAGACAAGTTGCAAACGGCCTTTGCCTGTAATTAGGACTCCAAGTCAGTATGACCATGTGTCCTATTGTAATTGCGTTGTTTATTTATTGTTATCTATCATTCAATCGTTCGTGAATCTTTAACACAAGAAGCATTCATTAGATTATGTCCTATTAAATCACCAGCATGCAGATCAACGGCAAAGAGTGCATATAAACAATCAACACTCATTGGTTTCAGGACTAAGGGGTGACACTTCAAACGTAATTCATTAGAAACGATACAGGTTATGCTATAGCGTCTCACCAGATCATCCAACAAATGATAGACTTGTCACGGTAAAGCAGAAGGAGATTGTCAGTCACTTCTGTTCTTTGCCTTATGTCACAGGCCAGTTGCCTTCGCAGCCTTATTGGATTTAAGGTTTTCAAAGTTCATTATGAGCTCTTTATGGTAGATATCTTCCAAAATCTTCTCCTCTGAAACTATCCCATGAGATGGATCCATATTGTCGTCACTGCGTTTGGGGCGTCAAGGGATCCTGCAGCAGTTATCTAAGTGTATTGCATTTCCATATCGTCAAGGCCAGTTTAGCCATGACTCACTGAGTCAGGAGAGTCGCTTTGCCAAGGAGTGAGCCGTCCAACGACCTTTACTCCTAACTATTCCCCAAAACATTCATGTACCTGCGCACACACATCCAAGGATTAAATAATGCATTACAAGATTTTATACTCACATAACTTTACTACCCCTAATCATCTCAGGAGATACAACTTCTTTGGCCAGGCAAGACAGACTCGTCGCACAGTGACTTTCAAACCCACGCACTCCTCTACTAGTGTTTAAAATATCTTTTAAAAATCTTCGAGCCTGTCACGTGTTTGAAACATGTCGAGATTCATAAATTTGATTCTTTACCAAATAAATGAGACCATGAAGTCATGTTTGTGTCATGATGGACAAATACCGGAACCTATATGACTAATTAAGCATCTCTATTAATTACAAGGCGACGACAGCATCGAAACAATCACCCAAATAACATCTCGCTATCGATTTCCTTTGAGTCGGAGACTTTCTGTAGCCATCTCACATTAAAGATCTCTCGACAGTAACCATCATTTTAAAGGTTGAATTTGTTATGACAAGAGGGATTACTTCAACTTTCCAACAGTCAACTTTCCCTTCCTAAAATATCCCAGCAGCTCCAGACTTTGGCGAACACCTGGTATAATAACTAGTGACAGTGATTCCTCAACAGACACTTTATGTAGAGATTTCTATTGGATATGGAAAGTGTTTTGTCGCGTTATATAATTATATGTTTCTATGTTTTTAAGGATGCATTTTAACCTTATAAGAATATATGGCCTTGGTGAGTCTGTTAGTATGGTTTTACGCCGCTTTTAGCAGTATTCCAGCAATATCACGGCGGGAACACCAGAAATGTGCTTCACACATTGTACTTATGTCGGGAATCGAACCAGGTCCTCGGCGTGACGAGCAAACGCTTTAACCACTAGGCTATCCCCTATCCCCTCTATTATTCTCAATTTTCATAAATTACGTGGAAACCTTTTTGCATTCATCTGGGTGTGGAGGAGTTAATCTCAACTACGGTGCAGATAAAGACTTAATTGTATGGATCCAATTTATAATTGTATTGTATGCAGATGATGCTGTATTATTTGATGAATCACCAGAAGGTTTACAGAAAGCCTCAGAAACTTTTAATGAATATTGTGAAGAGTGCAAATTACATATGAATATAATTAAAACAAAAATTGTGAAATTGGTGGTGGTCCTTCGAAAAATTAGAAACATAAATTTCACTATTCTGATAAAACTCTAGATATTGTCGACACTTATACGTATCTAAGAATTGTACTTCACAGGAATAGAAAACTAGTATCAAGCCTTAAGTCCCCTAGTGATAATGTATTGAAAGCAATGTTTTGTCTGAT